ATACTTACTGTGATGAGTATTGGGTAATGTGTAGAAATTGAATCATTATACTGTATACCTCAAACTAATATGATACTGTATATTAATTTTACTTGAATCAAAATATATTTAAAAATGAATCTAGGCACAGACCTTACACCCTTCACACACCTGAGGGGCTCAGTCAGTAAGCGTCTGACTCATGATCTCAGCTCAGGGGCTTGATCTCAGGGTCATGAGTTCAAGCCCTGCTTTGGTCTCCACTTTTTAAGTATTAAAAAAAAAACCTCAAAATAGATCATAGATCTAAATGTAAAATAAAAACTATAAAACTCCTAGAAGATAACAGAAGAAAACCTAGATGATCTTGGGTATGGTGATGATTTTTTAATATACCACCAAAGTCATGATTCACGAAAGAAATAATTGATAAATTAGGCTTCATTAAAATTAAAAACTAGGGGTACCCGGGTGGCTTAGTCAGTTGAGGGTCCAACTCCTGATTTTGGCTCAGGTCATGATCCCAGGGTCATGGCATTGAGCCTGCATTGGGCTCCACACTGAACATGGAGCCTGCTTGAGATTCTCTCTCTCTCTCCCTCTGCCCCTCTCCCTGGCTCATGCTCTATCTCTCTCTAAAATAAAATTTAAAAAAACTTTTAAAGATAATAAAAATAAATTTAAAAAAATTAAAAACTATTGCTCTGTGAAAAACAATGACAAGGAAATAAGAAGATAAGCCACAGACTAGGAAGAAATACCTGCAAAAAACACATCAAATAAAGGACTGCTATCCAAAATATACAAAGAACTCTTAAAATTCAACAGTAAGAAAGTGAACACTCAAAAATGTACAAAGGAGTTGAACAGAAACCTTACCAAAAAAGATAAACAGATGGCAAGTAAGCATATGAAAAGATGTTCAACATCATATGTCATTAGTTAAAACAAGAAACCATTACATATCTGTTAGAATGACCAAAATCCAGAACACTGGTAACAAAATGGTGGGGAGGATGTGGAACAACAGGAACTCACATTAATTGCTGTTGGGGCTGCAAAATGATATAGTCATGTTGGAAGACAGTTTGATAATTTCTTACAAAACTAAACATACTCTTACCATATAATTCAACAATCATGCTTCTTGTTATTTACCCAAAGGAGATGGAAATCTATGTCTACACAAAAACCTGCTCATGGATATTTATAGCAATTTTATTCATAATTGCCAAAACTTAGAAGCCGTCAGGATATCCTTCAGTAGATGAATAAACTATGGTACATCCAAATAATAGAATATTATTCAGTACCTAAAAGAAATGAACTATCAAGCCATGAAAAGACATGGAGGGAACTCAAATGCAAGTTTTACTAAGTGAAAGAAGCCAATCTGAAAAAGGCTACCTACTCTATGTTTCCAACTATATAAAATTCTGGAAAAGGGAAAATTATGGAGATAGTAAAAAGATCAGTAGTTTCCAGGGGTTAAGTAAGCCAAAGGGATACCTAAGCAGAACACAGATTTTAAGGGCAGTGAAATTACTCTGTATGATACTACAGTGGTGGGTAAATGTCATGATACATTTGTCAAAATCCATAGAATGTACAATGCCAAGAATGAACCCTAATATAAACTATGGACTTGGGGTGATAATGATGTGTCAGTGCAGGTTCATTGATTGTAATAAATGTAGCACTCTGGTACAAGATGTTGACAGCGGGGGAGACTGTGAGTGTGTAGGGACAGTTGGTCATATGAGAACTCTACACTTTCTGCTTGGTTTTGCTGTGAACCTAAAACTGTTGTAAAAAATAAAATTAGTTAATTTTTTTTTTTAATTAAAAGGCACCGGGGATACCTGGGTGGCTCAGTAGGTTAAGTGTCCACTTCAGCTCAGGTCATGATCTCATGGTTTGTGGGTTCCAGCCTCGCATGGGGCTCTGTGCTGACAGCTCAGAGCCTGGAGCCTGCTTTGGATTCTGTGTCTCCCTCTCTCTCTGCCCCTCCCCTGCTCACGCTGTCTCTCTCTGTCTCTCTCAAAAGTAAACAAATGTTAAAAAAAATTTTTTTAATGAAATAAAATCAAAAGGCAACATACTAGTTGTCTTAAATTTCACCACAAATTTTTAACATGTATAAGAATTCAAAAATTAATATGCATCTATAGGAAGAACTTATACAAATCGATAAGAAAAAGAGGAACACGCAAATAAACAATGGGTGATACAAACTGCAGCAACATATATTAACATGATGAATATCAAAATTTTTTAATATCAAAAAATTTTTAAGGCAAAGCCAAATGTGCGTTTGAGGACTCGTACACTCGTGGGAATGGAATAAAAAAACAGCAAGGGAGTGATTCCACACAAAACTTGGTAAAGCGGTTCCTCTGAAGAGCACAGCGAGGAGATGGATGATACATTTGAGGAGAGGCGCTATGATGCCAGACGAACAAGTCTGTTGCTTATGTGGCTTCGTAGTCGTTACTTTAGTATTCATTTTTAACCTCTGAACTTATATACTCTTCTATATTCGTACTGTATTTTACACTAAAAAAATTAATGTATAATGAGGGTGAATAGACAATTCACAGAAGAAATAGAAATGCCATTTAATGTATACAAAAGCACTTTACGTCATTAATGAAAGAAATTCAAAGTGAAATGCATTACCTTGTCTAAAATTTTAGACTGCCAACGATTTTTGTTTTTATTTTTAGATTTTTTTTTTAATCTTTATTTTTGAGAGAGACAGAGACAGAGTGAGAGGGAGACACAGAATCTGAAGCAGGCTCCAGGCTGTCAGCACAGAGCCCGATGGGGGGCTCGAACTCATGGACTGTGAGATCGGGACCTGAGCCGAAGTCAGACACTTAACTGACAGAGCCATCCAGGCACCCCTGGCAACGATTTTAAAATTGTATAAGGTCCAGTATTGTTAAGAACGGGGAGAAATGAGCACTCAAATCCACGTATGCCCGATAGTTTAAATTGTTACAATTAAATTGGAAGACAGTGCATTATGTTGCTTTGTAGGAGGTTAACATTGGAGAGAGGGGAGCAGTGTTCCACTTTGCTTGCTTATATTTTGTTTTGATATTGTATTATGTATTACATGTATAATAAAAAACTGATAAAGTTTTTTAAGGGTTAATAAGAAAATTCAAACATATTACATTTTAACAAATCAAGCTATTGGATTAATGTTCATCATAAATGTTCCTCAATTTCATAAACTTATTTTTATAATTATTTTAATAAGTTAAAAGACATAATTTATGGGGTCTCAAAGTTAGAAATTAAAATCTTTATCATTGAACAAAATTCTGTTAGTCTTCCCTTGAGTAAAACAACTTTATTTATATTAAAACAGAGCTACCAAAGAAAATAAGGAGGACACATCAGTTGATGCTTCTCAGGTAATACAGATTGAGCAATTTATCTTTTTTTCAAATCTCTTTCACCATCAGTATGTGGGATATAATTGTTCTGTTCTTCCCTTCTTCTTACAAATGGGTACTTGATAAATACTGCATATAAATGAGACCATCTATCTCTTGCTCACCTTATTGTTTCATTGATTCATTCGTCTACTCGTGTATTCATTCATTCATAAAACAGGTAATTCTTGAGTGCCTGCTTTTGTGCCAGCTCAAAAAATTATGCTAGGCAAGAACAATCAGCCATGAATAAAACAAATCTCAACCTGTCCTCAGGAATCTTAGAATCTAATGGGAAAGACAGACTCTGACAAGTACAAGCATGAGGAGTGTTACAAAAGAGTGCTATAGGAGAAGATAGCAAGGAACTTGACCAAGATGAGGGTCAGGAAAGACCTCCTGTAGGAAATGACTTAACAGCTAAAACTGATGCATGAAGATACATAAGCTAGTCAAAAGGTGGAAAAACACTATTCCAGATACAGGGGATTTCATATTCAAAGAGCTTGAGGTAGGAAGGAGCACATTTGAAGAAATTTAAAAAATATATATGTATATATTTTAGCAGGAAAAAGAAAAGCAAAGGAAACAGTGTTGTGTTAACAAGGCCAGAGAGATAGGCAGGGGCAATTCAGTGGAAAGTCTTACAATAATTCTTTTAGTAGACAAATATTTGTTGAGTATTTCCTATATGCCAGGCACTGTTCAAGGAATTGGTGAGATATCATTGAATAAATCAAAGTCCCCCATTACCATGAAGCTGGCATTCTTTTATGTCTTGTTAACCTTTTTCGACTTAGGTAACCTAAGAGCAAAGGAAAACTATGGAAAGGTTGTAAACAGCAGAGATACATGGTCTGATGTCTGTTTTTAAAGGATTATTTTAGCTGAATTATGAAAAATGAATATTCCAGAAATCTTCTCTTCATCCAAAGCCACATGCATCTTTGAAGGATCCCTGACAGTAGGTATGGCCACCAGGAATAGTGAAACATATTTCCAGTGCAGTAAGGACATGCTTCTTCCTCTTGAGGACTGACCCATGCTGATGAATAGGAGAGAGAATATTTTTTCCATTTCCAAATAGAGAAGGACAACTAAGACATAGCCTTAGACAGTTTTGTGACAATATGTCAAATCAGCTGTGGGGAGACCTCTAATTAGATAGCTTAAATAGTGGTTTTGCATCACAGATGCAAAGAATCTGCTGAAGGCTGTGAGCCTTCGCTATAAAACAGAATTTTTATACTGTTTGAGGGAGTTCACAAACTCTAAAGGCCATCCACAGACCCCAGAATAATAGTCCCTACAATAAGAATTCAGATGTGATTTAAACACACACACACACACACACACACACACACACAC